GTTGCGGGGCCGAGAGGCTGAGTTTTCACTCTTAGCTGCTAAACACGGGGGCTGAGGCTGGAGAGCGCGAGGTGGGCACGGATAACGGGATGAGGCCGTGCCTCGCGGGTGAAGCCGCTGGGCAGGGTGGGAGCAGAGGGCTCGGGGAGCTGCGTGGGGGCCCGGGGCTCTCCCAGGCCACTTACGGATGCGAAGGGAGGTCTCGTGCTAGCGTGGAGCCCCATCCAGGCTGTGCCACACGCAGCGCAGGAGGGAGACGGGATCTGGGAGCAGAGCGGATGGGTAGTGTGGAAGAAGCCCAGGAAAGCCCAGCATCTGTGTTTCTTGGAGCCTGGTTGATGTTGGTCACAGAATCACAGAATGCCTTGGGATGGAAGGGACCTTTCCAGGCCATCCGGTCCATCCCCCTGCAATGAGCAGGGACATCTCCAACCAGATCAGGTTGCTCGGAGCCCCGTCCAGCCTGGCCTTGGATGTTTCCAGGGATGGGGCATCTCCCACCTCTCTGGGCACCCCCTGCCAGTGTTTCACCACCCTCATTGTGAAAAAGGTTTTTCCTCGTGTTTAGTCTAAATCTCCTCTCCTTCAGTTTAAAACCATCACCCCTCGTCCTGTCATAGCAGGCCCTACTAAAAAGTCTGTCCCCATCTTTCTTCTAAGCCCCCTTTAAGCACGGCAAGGCCGCAATCAGCTCTGCCCGCAGCCGCCTCCTCTCCAGGCTGAACCCCCCCAGCTCTCAGCCTGTCCTCACAGCAGAGGTGCTCCAGCCTCTGAGCATCTTCGTGGCCTCCTCTGGCCCCGCTCCAACAGCTCCATGTCCTTCCCGTGCTGAGGACCCCGAGCTGGACGCAGGGCTCCAGGGGGGTCTCCCCAGAGCGGAGCAGAGGGGCAGAATCCTCTCCCTCGCCCCACTGCCCACGCTGCGGGGGATGCAGCCCAGGAGACGCTTGGCTTTCTTTTTGATGGCTTTCCCTCGTCATCCCGCGGGCGCGTGAAAGATGGAGGTGATGGGGGAGGCAGTGGCTGGATGTGGGGTGCTGTGCTCCCCCCATAGCGCCTATGGCTTACGTACTGTCCTTTTTTCAAAGTGCATGCTCTATTTCGTTTATTTACAAAGGTTCAAATGTGTCTCCCCTCCTTCTTTATAAAATATAACAGCACTGTTAAAAAATAATCATAATAAAAAAAGGAAGCCAGAAAAAAACCAGCTGTGGTCGGAGAGACACTTGCCTGAACTGTGGCGAGCGTCTGCACAGCCTTGACCCAAACCTGCCAGCAAAGAGGGGGGATCTGCGGGCAGGGGAGGGAACATTTCCGAACAAAAGCAAAAATAGAAGCGGGAGAGTCACAGGGCAGAGGAGCTTTTCTGCCGCGTCAGACTCCGCTGACGGGGCTGAGCGGTGACGGAGGGAGCGGGAGGAAACTGGTGACCCAGGGGCCACGTGTGCTTGCTCCAGCAGGGTTTCCACCGGCCGTTCCCACACCTCCAGCTGAGCAGAGGAGGGTGTCAGCGCCCGGCCGGCACCACGGCGGCCGCCCAGACGTAACCGGTGGGGTTGGGTCGGGGACCCGCTTGGATGGGGGTCGCTGCCTCTTACTTGAGGGTGTCGCAGTGAGGAGAGAGGGAATCCATAAACCCCAGAGGCAGATGGGTCTAGGTCAGGGCCGCGCAGTTAAATTAACAGCTTTACCGAACCGGGTCCTTCGTCTCCCGTCCCGCCAGGGCAGCCAGGAGCCGGCGTACCTGCCCTGTGCCGCGGGGGAGGGAAGGCGAGCTGCGCGGGGCTGGCCTCGCTCGCTGCGAGCAATGCTTGCAGGAGTCCAGAAGGTCTGGTGTGTTTGGGACCAGCGGCACCGCGCACAAGTCGCCTGGCCCTGAGGTCTGGGTGGCCCCGAGCCCCATCAGTCCTGCAGGCAGTGTTTCTTAATTTCTACCAGGAGAGGGGGACGTGGCTCTTCTGTTTCCCTTTGGTTTGTTTTTATCATCCAGTTTAATGCTGGAGATGGGAATCAGCCCTGGCTTTTATTTCCCGTAGGAGGGCAATCAGGAGGGAGACTTTGTGCCGCCGAACCCGCGCAGTGCTGGCGTGCCGCGTGGCCCTGTGGACATGGTCTTGTCCCCGGGAGCGTCCCCGTGCCCCTGCGCGGTGTTTCCCAGCAGAG